AACTCCAAGGTCGGCGAGCAAAGTCTGCTCGACAACTTGCTTCATGGCGAGCAAGAGCAGCACGGCACGGAACTCAAAGGTCGGCAAGCAAGGTCAGCTTCGCAACTTGCTTCTTGGCGAGCAAAATCAACTCGGCAAGGAACTCCAAGGTCCGCGAGCAAGGTCCGCTCGGCAACTTGCTTCTGGGCGAGCAAGATCAGCTCGACAAGGAACTCTAAGGTCGGCGGGCAAAGTCCGCTCGGCGACTTGCTTCTTGGCGAGCAAGATCAGCTCGGCGACTTGCTTCTTGGTGAGCAAGATTAGCTCGGTAAGGAACTCAAAGGTTAGCGAGCAAGGTCAGCTCGGTGACTTGCTTCTTGGCGAACAAGATCAGCTCGGCAAGGAACTCCAAGGTCACGAGCAAGGTCCGCTCGGCGACTTGCTTCTTGGCGAGCAAGATCAGCTCGGCAAGGAGCACCATAGTTAACGAGCAAGGTCTGCTCGGCAACTTGCTTCTTGGCAAGCAAGATCAGCTCGGCAAGGAACTCTAAGGTCGGCGAGCAAGGTCAGCTCGACGACTTTCTTCTTGGCGAGCAAGATCAGCTCGGCAAGGAACTCCAAGGTCGGCAAGGAAGGTCAGCTCGGCAACTTGTTTCTTGGTGAGCAAGATCAGCTCGGCAAGGAACTCAAAGGTCGGTGAGCAAGATCAGTTCGGTGGCTTTCTTCTTGGCGAACAAGATCAACTCGGCAAGGAACTCCAAGGTCGGCGAGCAAGGTCAGCTCAGCAACTTGTTTCTTGGCGAGTAAAATCAGCTCGGCAAGGAACTCCAAGGGCGGCGAACAAGGTCAACTGGGTGACTTGTTTCTTAGCGAGCAAGATCAACTCGGCAAGAAATTCTAAAGTTGATTAAAACCATCAATAAACCTCTTGCCGAGTAAAATTCATCCGACAAGGAATTCCAGAGATGATAAAATCATCAACAAACCTCTTGCCGAGCAAAATCCGTCCGGTAAGGAATTCCAAAGTTGATCAAAACCATCAACAAACCGCTTGCCGAGCAAAATCAACCCTGCAAAGAATTTTGATCTTTTCGTCAAAATGATTGTTAGTTGCCCATTGGACCGCACTAAATCCGCTTGGCGATGCAAAAATACAACAATTCTCAAGAAAATGGTCTACTTGTTTCATTGTGCCAATGGCAAAAAGGGTTACAAAAATAGAACTAAGAACATAACTTTAGATTGGCAGAGTTCGATGTTCTGAAAATGGATCGGCCATTTACATTCCGCGAGTTTTATGCCCCTTTTCCTCGGCCTTCTTACAGACGTCTTCCAAAAATTGAACTCCGTATATCTCTTCCATGGTGGTTTGCATGGCCATCATCTTGTCCTACTGCGTGAACCTTTCGCACTACTCTCTTATTCTCTACTACCGGACTTGTCGTCACGATAGCTGCGGCTGCATCGTCTTTGACTCGGATGTGCTCATTAATGTGTTGCATGAGCAATTCCATGGTTGACGGTTGATTCATTGTGAGCAAGTCTCTTAGTCGATGTCTAACTGGAAGACCGCGCTTATACTGAGTGATTGCAAGGTTGGTCGGGCAATCAAGGATCTCGTTGAATGTCTCCCAATACTTAGTGTTATACGCCTTCAAAGAGTCGCCTGGCTTTATCTTTACTATCAAGAGATGGTCAATTTCCTTGGGCATTTTGGCATTTGTCTTAAATCTGGTGACAAATGCCTCTGCCAACTGTTGCCACCCATCGATGCTTTCCTCCGGCAGCCTCTCGAACCATTTTAGGCCCAACTCGCCCAAACTCAATGGAAAAACAAGGCACATGAGCGCATCGTTTCCCCTGTGCCCAACCGTAACCTGCCGGAAGTGGCTTACGTGCATATATGGATCAGTCTTTCGGTCATAGAGCGTGAACTTTGGTTGACGGAACTCGGGGGGGAGCAATGTGTTCTTGATCTCTGCGGAAAAAAGGGTGGCACTCAGCCTTGCCAACTCTCTGTCTGGTGGTGCGTGTGCCGCCAAGCATGGTTGTGGCATGACGACCTTTTCACTGGCTCGCCCTCTAGAGACCAACTGATGCAATGCAAGCACCCTCTGCGCCTTCTTCCGGTGAGCGCGCGCAGAGTTCGATGTTCTGAAAATGGATCGGCCATTTACATTCCGCGAGTTTTATGCCCCTTTTCCTCGGCCTTCTTACAGACGTCTTCCAAAAATTGAACTCCGTATATCTCTTCCATGGTGGTTTGCATGGCCATCATCTTGTCCTACTGCGTGAACCTTTCGCACTACTCTCTTATTCTCTACTACCGGACTTGTCGTCACGATAGCTGCGGCTGCATCGTCTTTGACTCGGATGTGCTCATTAATGTGTTGCATGAGCAATTCCATGGTTGACGGTTGATTCATTGTGAGCAAGTCTCTTAGTCGATGTCTAACTGGAAGACCGCGCTTATACTGAGTGATTGCAAGGTTGGTCGGGCAATCAAGGATCTCGTTGAATGTCTCCCAATACTTAGTGTTATACGCCTTCAAAGAGTCGCCTGGCTTTATCTTTACTATCAAGAGATGGTCAATTTCCTTGGGCATTTTGGCATTTGTCTTAAATCTGGTGACAAATGCCTCTGCCAACTGTTGCCACCCATCGATGCTTTCCTCCGGCAGCCTCTCGAACCATTTTAGGCCCAACTCGCCCAAACTCAATGGAAAAACAAGGCACATGAGCGCATCGTTTCCCCTGTGCCCAACCGTAACCTGCCGGAAGTGGCTTACGTGCATATATGGATCAATCTTTCCGTCATAGAGCGTGAACTTTGGTTGACGGAACTCGGGGGGGAGCAATGTGTTCTTGATCTCTGCGGAAAAAAGGGTGGCACTCAGCCTTGCCAACTCTCTGTCTGGTGGTGCGTGTGCCGCCAAGCATGGTTGTGGCATGATGACCTTTTCACTGGCTTGCCCTCTAGAGACCAACTGATGCAATGCAAGCACCCTCTGCGCCTCCTTCCGGTAAGCGCGCTCCCCCAACACATCCCTTAAGTCTTTCGAACGGTCGGAGCGAGAATACCTCGACGCCGTCGTCGGGCGTGAGGAGTGGTAACTGTTGTCTTGTGTGCGAGATATCGTCGCCGGTGCTACATAGTCTCCTAGCTCTGAAGCTTTTCATGACAGAGAGTGAAGGGGTGCGATGTCTATCAAGACTACCGGAATGGCGGGAATGGGTGTGCTCACTGTGGTTTCCCACTCCAGCAATGCCCTTTCCTTTCATCTGGCGACTCATGGCCTCCATCTCCGTCGCCATTTTCTTGATGATGGTATCTTGGTCTCTCAGCTTGTTTTCCAAGTGTTGAGTGTGTGAATCTCGCCGTTGGCGATGCTCTTTTGGAATGACAAAGCGCCCAAAACTCCTTGCGCGTTTGTCTCGCGCATCCCTGGGAAGTCCTTGTGCGGAGGTCTCCAAATCAGCCATCGTCGGAATGGCAGACAGGCCATCTCTGAGACAAATGGACTTTGGCGTGATGCCGTCGATGGCGTGTAACAGAATGTTGTCGTGGTTCGCCATAAAAGATGACCGGAGAAGCTTAGAGGACAAGGTTTTGTCTGTCGAATTCCCACAGACGGCGCCAATTGTACAGGAGGCAAATATTCGGTACCGCCCGTATTCCTTGCATCCAAGCTCCGCTTCGATCCAATTAACCTGCGAGCACAACATTGCCGAAAAACCCCTTCGGCGGTCAAGTTAGCACACACTCAGAGATAGAGAGAGAGAGGAAGAAAGTTTCTCTCACCAGATGAAGTTCTATTCTCAACATGAGAGGTGTAGTCACGTTTACATACTAGATGAAGTTCCATCCTCACCAGAGTTTCTCTCACCAAATGAAGCCCCCGCCCCGTGCCTAGCACAATATTGTCCGCTTTGGCGTAAACCCGCCTCACGGTTTTGTTCCTCCTCCACTGGGGAAAAGGCCTTATGTTAGGTAGAGGAGGCAATCAGCTTATAAGGTGGGAAAGTAGTCTCTCACTGATCGATGTGGGATGTCCCCGCACAATTATGGTTTAGATATGACATTTCATCTTATTGACTTATTTAGTCCATTTTATCTTTTGTACCTTTTTAACCCAATTAAGTTAGCCAAATGACAGCTTTAGTTTCTTTTGTGTTTGTTTTTTTGTTTTGTTTTTTTTCCCTGCAGTTATTGCCGTGAACAAAACCATCAGTTCTAAAGAAATGAAAGTTTACCTAAAAATCTATTAATTAAAGCTCCAATTCAATGTGATCTAGTTGAAAAGGAGACAAAAGTAGTTAAGTTAGGTATAGATATGGTGGTGTCTTCTTTTATTTGTTGAAGGTGGTAAGGTTGGCAATGTTACCAAAATGAACATGTTGAATTCTTTAATCTCTCATTATAATAATAATTGCACTGGTTTTGCCTCTTATACACTAATTACCACAAGAGTAATATTATATAAATAAAAAAAATATATAATTTTTATTTTTATTTTTATACAGAATGATAGATATGTCTGTATTGTAAGCTTATCATTACAAAATAAAGAATCCATTAAGATGTAAAAATAGTTTTTCCCTTGGTACAATGGTTTTGGCCTATAGCTTAATTAAATGAACACATAAGTATATACCAATGTAAAACAAATTAAATTATTCAAATTCATACTCGACTTGTTAAAAAAAAAAAAAGAAAAAAGTTAAGATTGACTTCTTCTATAAACAAAACAATACATTTAAAACTCGTGAAATTTTTAAGTTAAACTTAAATAACTTAATATACTTGACTTGAGAAGTTATGCACAACATAAAAAACTAAATTACTTGAGTTGCGCTAGTTATCGGTTTGATTAGTTCTTTTGAATATTGACTCGAAAGATAAAATAAATTAAATTTGAACATATTTTAATACTTGTTAAATTTGAACAATCTATTACCCGGCTCGATTTGAGTTATTTACAGCCTGGCATTTGATCCATGTATCAATCAGTACTGATGGCTACTTCTGTAATCTCTGTTATGGTATTCAACAACAAATCTGTTCATTCAAATTAGAAAAGAATATAAATATACTGATACAGAACATACATATTATTAACTGTTCTGTTAATCCCATAACTAAAATAACATGTTCTCTGATCTAGTTGAGCTTGGAGGCTTAAAATGACCTCAAAATCATAATTTCAGTGGTTTCAGATAACGCTAATAGGTCCGATTAGGAGGGGACTAGATGATGATGATTTTGTTTGATCTGTTGGCCTTGGAGCTGCCAGTTTGAGCTCCAAATCAGGAGCTGAATTTGCAGAATTAATGGGCTTTGTTTGAATTGTTGCAGCAGCTGATGATTTCAGCTGTGAATTGGGTGATCCAAACAGCCACCCAGGTGATGATTGAGAGCAGTCAGTTTCTTGAATGTTATGGGAGATGAGAGGCAGAGTGGTAAGATGATGTTGAGCTTCATGGTATGAGCTTTTCATGCTAAGACACTGAGCAAGAATAGCATCACTTGGTTTGGAATCAGAGTTGTTGCTACTTGAAACCTGTCAAGTGTGAGGCAGAGATTTTTATTTATCTATTTAATTTTTATCAATGTTTCGTAGTCATATATCAAATCTATATAGAATGATGTGTCAAATTGATAGTCGTTCATTTTAAACTAAAAGGCCTGTGAAAATAACTTCTTATTTCAAAACTGTCATCGACACATCATTCTAGTATGCCATATTTTTTTTTTGGGGTACAAAATTTTTGTTTGCAAATCACTTTCCAGGATTATAGGGAGGAGAATAATACCATGTCAAAGAGGCTTGAACGCCGCTTCTTCTTGTTGAGGCTTGCCTGCCGGAGAAAATACTTTTGAGCATGACTGGCAACTTGGGTCGGAGTCCTTGTAGTCACATAATTTCTTGAAATTCCTCTCCAGTCACCCTTGCCTAGCTTCTCTAGCCCAGACAGAAATGTCCGGTGCTCCTCCTCCGTCCATGGCACTCCTAATCATCCATCCATAAAAATATGTATTGAATATGAAATACCACAAGAACATTGGAAATTTGGGAATTGGAAAATATGAGAATCGAAGAACAATTTTTTTGGGTTCAGTTGTAGATCGGAGTGTGATAACTCAACTCAAAATTAATGGTCAAGAAAATGTGAGAAGTATAGGATGTTAAATTGGGGTCATTGAAGAGCAGACACTAGCATAGTACTCTGGATCCATGAAACCGTGAATAACTCGAGAAAGGGTGGTTTGGCCTAGGGGTAAAATTTGTTGTTAGTGGTGAAACAGGTTTTTTTTTTCTTTTTTGGGTGAATTTGTGAAATAGGTTCAATTCACAGAAATAATCTTTAAAAATGAGGATAAGACTATATACATCTTGCCTTGCTTTCTAGGATAACCCATTTTAATCTAGGATAAATTGAGGGACATATTTGGTGGAGATAAACAAAAGCATTTATGTGATGATTATGTGAACCAAAAGAAGAAAGAAGAAGATGATTATGTGAACCAAACCCCCTCCTTCTTTCTCCTTCCAAAAGGAAAAGAACCCAAAAAGAGAATAGAAAGAGACATCACATGCATGATACTAATACAAAGCTCCACATATACCATAAGAGAACAAGCAACTAGAACTATTATTTTTCTTCTCAAAACTACCAAAAATCCATTAAAAGCCAGTCATGTAATTAAAAAAAAAAAACAGAAATTTTCATACCCTTCTTTCTTTCTTGGCTATGACCTAAGAGACCATCGGAGAGATAACCGATGGAGCTCTTATCTGAATTTTCATGGATGGAAACTCGCGAAGAAGACAATGAAGACGAAGGGGATGGCGATGATGACGAAGACAAGCAATCCATGCTGATACTCTTCTTCATCATGGCAATAGAAGAAGATGAAGAAGAAGACAAGTCAAGTTGCACTCCAAAGAGCCTTAGTCCACCAACAACAGTAGCTCTATAAGCAGTGCATGTTCTTGAGTTATGACCTATGTTTCCACAATGTGAGCACTTTCTTCCCATTTTTTTTTTTTTTCAAGTTCACAAGCTAAAAATGGCCGACACCCTCAATACCCACATCCACAGAAGAGAGAGAAAGAGAGAGGAGAGGAGAGGAGAGGAGAGAGAACTGGAAAAATAATTAAAAGAAGTATGTTTGGTGGTATATATGATGATGTGTTCGAGGTGGGGTTATTGAAAATGGATGCACACCAAGAGTTGATGATTGGAGATTGGACAAATTTTTTTTTGGGTTGGATATTTTTCCAACTTGAGAGTTTCTTTTTTTTTAACTAAAGAAAGCAATTAATTGTAGTATATAGGTTGTCTGAGAAAAGTTAGGGATCATGAAATTTTTTTTATAAAAATGATCATGAAAGATTTATGATTCTTTAATTATCTTAATTAGTGTGTGGTATTTTATTCTAAGTGTAATCTAAGGGTCACAAAATTTTCATGATTATTTTTATGAAAAATTTTTCATGATACCTAGTATTGCTGGGTTGTCTAGGATGAAACAAATTAAGAAGAGAGAAAAAAAAACGAAAGTGATGCAAGTGGGATATATTTTTCTCATGAGTTTGGTTAGTGGCAGTGAAAATGGGGGACCCCCCATTTTTGCCTTCTTATTACCATGCATTGCATGTGGTGGTATATACAAACATATACATACTTTAAAAAATATATGCTGTTTGTGAATTACGGTGTCAGTACATACAAACATAAACTTCTTGTACATATCTCAAGTTAAATATCGACTGATTTGTATTCATTTTTTGATCTCTTGACATTTGTATCTCTTGATCGATTTAAATTCTTTTCATTACATGATTAAAATGAGAATCATAGATATTGACTGATTCACGATACATATCAACCTAAATATAATTGATTCGGTTAATTCAACTATTATAAAACTCTTTTTTGTAGTGACAGTATAGAGAATTATGTTATTCGATTCTTGATAAGTATTAATCGATACTTCTAATACCATTGTATCATGATAGATATCAAATTATCTTCTAATATTACTATTTAAAATTTTGATTAATAATCAAGGACAGGAGGGGGGGACGTGTGACTTAACAAAAGGGACAAGAAGTAAATTATAGAAAATGACTTAGAAAGTTAATGTTGATAAACCAACAACACTTTCATAGGAAAATCATTAAAACCATGTCCTTGATTTCAACATCCAAAGATTTGAGAAACAAGAGAATAGAATATTTGAGGACAATTTTGGTTTGAATACTTTAAATTTCCTTGTTACTTCCAACCCAAATTTTACGAAGTAAGATTCTGTATGATGAGTCAATGAATATGTCCAAAATGTTAAAAGCCCCAAGACAAAATATAATCTTCAATGATTTGTGAAAACAAAAAACTCTACCTTTGTCCTATCAAATTGTCATCCATAAAGATAAAAGAAGAAAAGCTCAAAACATCCAAAAAAACCAGTGGACCAAAAGCCCAAAACATATACCATTTCTTTCTGAGAAAATTCAGATTGGTTCTTGCTTGCTTAGGTAGGTTCATCACTGCTGTATTAGGGTTCCTTGTGGGCCCATTGTCAGATTAGACAAATTATAGTTTGACAATAATCATCTTTCCCCTTATCTATCTAGAGCGCTACTTTGGGAAGTAAGTTATAATCCGCTTCCCAGATTATATCTCACTTCATCTCTCACAAAAAAGTTGCTTATAAGTTGCTTTTTATCAAAAAGTTGATTATAACCATCTTTTCAAAATAGTCCAGAATCATCTTTCAAATCAAATACTGTAAAAAATAAATAAATAAACAAAGAAAGGAAAAAAAAAAAAAAGGCAATTTACAAATATAATTTGTTTATTGTGTCAATTTAGTTGCTGTAATTTTAATTATATAAATTATATTGTTTAATTTTTTATATTGTGCCAATTTAATGTCAGTAGTTTTAGTTATATAAATTTTGTCCTTTAAATTTTTTTTTATATTATGTAATTTAATTCAATTGATAATATTTGTTCAAATGGTCAATTTTAAAAATGCATAGACTATTTTAATGATTTTTTTTAAATACTATTATACCCCTAAGTCAAATTACAAGGGAGGGGGCGCAGGGAGAAGTGGAGAGGGGGTATCGTGGAGGGAAGGGAAGGAGAGTAGACAACAGGAAGGGAAGGGAAGGGAAGGGAAGGGAAGGGAATTAATTGATGTGTCCAAAGAAATAGAATAACATTCAAATTTGGGAATTAGATGTCCAAAGAAAATGGATATCCAACAATACTTTTGGGAGGCACGTAGAGGCTTTCTTATTTTAAATTGGAGGTTAACCCCTTAACTATTTTGAGAATAATGTATAAATTATTTTTAATTTAATTTCTTAAAAGATATTATCAATTAAATTAAATTGACACAATGTAGAATATTGAAGGATAATTTCAATGTAATTGAACTATTAAAATTAAATTTACACAAGAGACAATATATCTATGAATGAAGGATGTAATTTGCCCAAAAATAATTACAAACTACAATTTGAGATCTAATATATGTTAGTTTCTTAAATTTTGGATCTTGAATTAACGAAGAGTAAGAAAAATAAATACTTTACTTCATTTTCATCCTGTCTTTTTCCTTTTCTTTTCATTTTGCTACACAAATCCTTCACTCCAAGCATAACCTATGTATGGTAAACCACTGACTTTTAGAATAGATATTGTTGTCATTAACAAAATCTTGGACTGAATTAATTAAAGGAGAAGACAGGATTGTTTCCCATATATAAGTAAACATTATTCTTGTATGTCAATTGATAGATGTGGACTGAGATATAAATTATTGGATGGATATCTTCCACTACTATTTTTTTTTTCTACATCTTAATTAATGGTTTATTGCTTTGGCCAACTTGTTAAGGATTAGTAGTTACTCGTTTTTATAGTATCTGAAAGCCAAGTTGAGGTGTTTTTTTTTTTTTAATGTGCTCATCTCTGTTAAACTAGAAAAGAAAACACCTTCATTTCCTTATTTCATTTGGACCCATTTGGCATTATCATAGAAAGGAATCTTCACATAAAGAATAAGAAAATTATTTGAGAAATGAATAAGGAGCTGCTAGGATGTCACAATTTTTTCGGGGGCTTCGTCTTAATTAATGTATAGATACATGTAGTTCTTTTTATTTTTTGTTTGATCGGCAAAAAAGGGGTATATTGATATATCAATATAATATAACAAGGTAAAGAGAGATACATCAATAATAGACAAGAAAGGAGGGAGACTGTATCAATGCTTGCAATATACATCCCAAATTGGTTGACACCTATAAGCAAGCAAAACAAGCGCAATCCCTTTACAAACACAAAGAAAATAGAATCTCTTTACAAACACAAAGAAAATAGAAGACGATATGCCAAACTAAAACACTAAAACAACTACCTTAAAGTAGCCACAACACAAGGGAGATCAAGAGGTCAAAGAATAGGAGGTTGCTTCTTTTTGGCTTTGATAATCCGATCTCCAGAATATGGAAAAGGAAGTCATGAATGGTGCGTTGGAAAAACTAAACAAGATTTATTGTCACAATAAAATACTAAACTAATAATAAATAATAAATAACATATAAATATTATTATTAGAGAGAAAAGTTTAGAGAAGCATGCATGGTGGTTGAGACATGTAGCTTGTACTCTCCTTAGGAATGATACATCCCTTTTTGCACCGAGTTGAATGGTGCTTGTCTCCCAAAATACAACGACCTTTGAAATCCCTTGTGTGCAGAACAATGAATTTCACGAACCTTAAATTGCCTAATATTCACTTGTAAACTCAATACAGTAAACTCACAAAAAAAGAACAGAGTAGAAGAAGAGGTGAAAAAAGACTTATTTTCTATGTGTTTTGAAACAATGTTGAAATTTTATTAATATATACAATTAAGTAACAATAAATTAGATATTTAGGAGATATTATAGAATAACCCAAAAGACTAAGAGACTAATATTAACGTTATAAACTAATTCTTAAAAAAATGCAAATATCAAATAAAATAACATTAAATAAATTAAATTAAATACAATTTTAAAATTACAAAATAACATGATGGAGCTGGAGAACCCCGAATTTTCTTGGATCCAGAGACAAGCCTGAATTTTCACATCTTCAATGAGTTTTTCCCAGCACACTTGGACTTGGTTGAATGTATATATATATATATATATATGTTGGACAATTTTCACTCTATTTAAAAAATAAATTCTATTGTGTACTTAACAACAAACAGAATACAGAAGAAATAATGGAAATGAGAGAGATTGTTTGATTACAAAAATCAAATCAGTAAATAACTAAATTAAAAAATAGATTTTTATTTTGTTACATAAACAAAAACAAAATCTAATATAAATAAATAATAAAACAGAAAAATAAATTAACAACTTACTTTATTAATTTCTCGAACAAAGTTTTGATCAAGTCCAGTATTTAACATTGTGTCCTTAAACAGATTCGTCATCTCCACGGTGTTTTCAGATTGTGGGCGTCTATCTCTCAAGATAAAATGATCAACGTGAATAGTAGCAGCACTACACACTATTCACACAACGAACACACTAAGTGTTATACTCTTTCTTACAAGAAAAATAATGCAGCAAAATATAAAGAGAGCAAGTAAAACTTGAGACAAAAATTAGAGTGAAAAAACCAAATGAGAGACTGCCTATTTATAGATGGAATGATGGCCTTTCAGTTTGAATTCAATAGGTATGGCACCTGTTCGGATAGATCTGGTTTGATTTTCAAATAGACAAAAAACTGTTTTGGGTTTGAACAGATTCGGATCTGTTGGACAGATAAGGAATTGTATAGAAATTCTGAAGAGGTGCAAACAGATTTGAATTCAAAAATTGAAATTAAACTGGATAGATTTTCAGAATTAATTTTGAATTCTGAACAGATTTTATTTTACTAAAAAATAAAATTAAATTCAAATGTTTTTAGCCCCCGGATAGCCCAACCCAACCTCACACCACGCACCCGTGCCCAAGCCTAGGCCTAGGCCCAGGCCCAACTCGCCCGATTGACTGGCGGCGATGCGCGTGTGTATATTTATTTTTGGGTCCAATGGGTTTAGCCCAATTTGTCCATAACCTCTTCCTTCTAC